CCAAGCAACCGGTACCTCCTCCGTTTCGGAGGGAAACATCATTGCAGACCCTGATATTACCCGTACAGGCTCTAGACTCAGACTGGTTGGACTGGAACTGGCCTAGACCTACCCTACCGCTACTGGACTCTAAAAATGCCAACTTTGTCTTTTTCTGCTCGGCCTCCAGTACCCCCTCACACCAACTGCAGTGGGGTGCAGTATCGACCTACCGGCCTACTTGAGTGTTTTTCCGCTACCCCAAGGGCCGCGGGGCCGCTAGCTTCGCCACTTGAGTGTTTTTCCCTGCTACAACCCTCAATGCCACGGCCACAGGTAAGTACCGGCCCTACGGGCCTGCCAAACAAGCGAGTACCCTTGCGGGTCACACACATACTCATTCCGACAAGCACTCAGATGGCACGCAGGTCACAAGCACGCACACACAGACAGACTTGGAAAACACAGCAGAATGCGGGAATCTCAGCAAGGCATCCATTTCATCGGCAGAACTTCAGAAATCAGCAGTGTTCTCAGTCTGTCTTTTGACGGGTCATTACATTCCCCTATTTCTCAAGAACCTGCACAGTTAATCCTCTAGACACCAGAGTAATCAATGCTGGCAGGCGTTTTCTCAGTTACTTTCTCTGAGGGCAGCTTGAATCTTTTGTATATGGGACGCTGGACCCGTTTTTCAGCAGGTGATGCTCCCCACCAATAAATGGACCCTCTCCCCGGGTGCTAGTGGTGTCTATTTTGATCAGCACCACTAGCACTGCAGGGGGCCGTTTTTCGAAAAAAAAAGAAAAGAAAAAAAAAAAGATGCTGCAGCAGGCCGTTGAACACATTAGGAAATCTCAGGATGCTATGATTGCATATGAGAACAACCGCAGACAGCCTTCAAATTTTCAGGTAGGGGACAGAGTCTGGGTTAAGTCATCTGAACTGGGGCAGGAGTTGGGAATTTCGTGAAAGCTAATGCCGCAGTATTTTGGTCCATTGGAGGTCCTAGACATAGTTGGGGATCAGATGGACGGACCTTCCTACGTGATTCGCATCCCACTTCATCTCCGCACACAGCCAGTTTTTCACACCTCAAAGCTGGCACCTTCCGCAGAGACTGCACAGTTTCCCTCCAGACGGTCAATGCTGCCCCCAACCATGGATGGTGAAGTCGACATCGACAAGACTGTGGAGCATCGGGTGATGCCAGTACCTAAACCTCCCGGCAGAGGCCGTCCTCCCAAACCAAAGAGGCAATATCGTGTCAGATTCAGACATCATATCGATCCCAGTGAAGATCAGTGGTTCACTAGAGAAGAACTCCAGCGAGCAGCGCCCCAAGTGATTGCAGGCTAAGAGAGAGAGCTCAAGGGAAAGTTGCCTGCAGAATAGAAGACTTCTCAGGGGACTATCGAAGTGAAGGAGGAGGGAATGTGAGGATTTGGCTCCTCGGCAGGTCTAAGGGGCCCCCTGATACCGATGTGCGGGCCTTACAAATCACAAGAGGCCCAAGGCTGTCGATTTCGTATTTGGGGTACAGGCAGTTGTGTCGCGCCAGTTGGTTGATAGAACCCAGGCCCCGAGCAGCAAAGATTTTTCACCCTTCTAGGCCTTTCTGAAATGCAGGCGCTGGGCAGGATTCGCAGCAACATACACAGACACTTGGGAGGCCTAACTGAACGAGGCCCAGCATCTGCTGCAGAGGCCCAGCCATGTGGGGCCTACCGGAAGCTTCTGGGCGCAGGCCCAGCCCAGCCAAGCCACAGGCCTGGCCAGAACTCTTCCATATAGGAAAGAGCTCGTGGCCAGGCACAACATTCGGAGCATTTGCAAGCTAGCGGCAGCGCGGCTGGAGCGGAGTCTTGCAGGCTGCTGCTTGCGCTAAGGCAAGGTGCTGCGCAAGTGCAGTTGTGTACGAAGCAGGGCGCTGCTGAGGGCAGTGCCATAGCCCAGCCTCCATAGCTGGCTGGGGATTGGATGTACAGCAAGGCGCAGGGTGGTCTTCGGGTGTACAGAAGGAAGACGTGGGTCGAGGACAAGGAAGAAGGCAGTATGATGATGATGATGATGATGTGAGGGCACATACCTGGTATTGGCGATGGTCTGCATTGGACGGCATCTTCAAGTACTTCGTGGGCTGCTGATGTCAACAATTGCATTGTCAATTAGTAGGCAGATAGTAGCTGTGTAGGGAGTAGGCTGGAGCGCCAAGTAGGGAGAAGAGCCTGGATACTTATGTTGGTGGTGGCGAGAGCAAGCCCTCACTGACATTCGGTTTTCAGTGTTACGATTCCCCATTGGTGTTATATTGGTGCAATGCCGTTTTCTGGACACTGATACTTTGTGGCTTTCGATGTGATTGTGCAATCTGGATTTTGTTATCTCGCTATTGCTCATTTCCCTTGCACTAGTTTTTTTTTTTTTCTTAATTATTTCAAATTCGTATCCAGGAAAGCATCGAACTTCCGGAACTTCCGCGAATTCCGGAATCCCACAAATTTTGGAATCCGGCAATTTTTGGAATTCCGAGATTTCTGCGAATTCTGCAAATTCCGCAAATTTTGGAAATTCGCGAATTCCAGAAATCTGCGAAACGCGGGATTTCCAATTCGCGCTAAGCGAGATTACCCCAAACATTTGGTTTCTTTTTCGAAAGCAAAGTAGTAGATTGCGGTAATTTTTCAAATTTCGTAATTACTTCTTCTTTTGTTTGCAAAAGCAGAAAAGTTTGAAATTTCCAAGTTTCCCCAACGGGCCACTTTCCGAAAGTTCACATTTTTGTAAATTGCTCAAAAATACGCAATTCCGAAATGATTTTTCTTCTGAATTTTTACAAAATTTCTTTCTTCTTACTTGCTGATGCCTCCCCTGTCAGCTGGGTATCTATTTACCCACTGACAAATGCCTAACTGACACACAAGCGACGGACATTTGTCAGGAACAAGCCCTTAAAGTCGCCCTATCAGACATCACATGTTCTGGGCTAAGGCCCCAACAAGCTGAGTGCCCTCCCTAAGTGAAGGCGGGCCTGAATATTCGTCAAAGGCCAAATTTCGACATTTCCATATGTGGGTATTCAGGCTCTCGCAGCACGCCAGTTGGTTGGCTAGACGCGTGAGCCTCACTAAGCTGCGTCGTAGAGTTGGCCCAGCCCTTGACAGTTGCGCCTGGGCACATACACACAAAGCAGGGCCGATACATTGGGAAGCAGGCCATCGGCCTTGGCAAAAGCAGTACTGCCGACCCACCTGCCTGGGAGCCCCACACAGATGCAGCAAACAGCCATGTCTGGAGACTCAGGCCGTGCCCAACTGAAAAGGGCCCAGGCCCTCAACTGTAGTCTCGGGCCTGGGCACAGGGTCTGAGGCCCAACCGGAAGCTACTGGAAGCTTCCAGCCAGGCCACACACAACATCCAAGAGGCTGCCACTTCCATAAAAGAAGTGAGGCAGCCCGAGCCAGGCATTTTGGCCAGTGCAGGCAATGCGGAAGTGCTGCTGCGCTACTGCTTGATGCTGCGCTGCAGCCAAAGGCACTGACGGGGCGCATAGCGGTGAAGTGGGGCGCTGCAGGGCAGCGGGGCGCAGGCGGCCATAGCCGGGCTGCTGGGCGCCATGGGTAATGCGGGCGATCTGGTGGTCTTCAGGGAAGGAGGCGAGTGTTGGGTTATCAAGGTCTGATTGAGGGTGACGTGATACGTACCTGGTGCATGAAGAGAGGTCAGCTATGGTGTTGACAGTCGTGTACATTGGTCTTCGAGAGTCAAAGTGAGCCTGTTGCGTGAACCAGCTGTAGGTAGGATAGTCGGGTAGAATAATCTGGGTGTTGGGCGCCAGACCGAGAGGAGCGACTTTGGATACTGTGTTGGTGTGGTCTACGGGCTTGAACGTTGGCTCATCACTTCATTGTATTGCTCTATATGGATGGTTTTGCGGTGCATTTTGTACTCTCTGCTTGGACACGACTACGTGGACATCGGTGTGATTTCGCAACTTCGTTTTCTGTATATCGTTCACAGTCATATTCCTTGCAATTTGGTATCGGAGCTGGTTCGTGATAGCCGCTTACCTGGCACCGGCGACATTGTTACTTGTTGCGCTGACGATGTTTCATG